GGGAGTTGTGTGGAGGGTGTGGAGTGTGTGCGGTGTGTGTGAGAGGGGAGTGTGCCTGCGGTGTGTGTGAGGGGTGGAGGTGTGCTGCGGTGTGTGTGTGAGAGGGGGTGGTGTGTGAGAGGGGAGTGTGCCTGCGGTTGTGTAGGGGTGTGGTGGTGGGAGTGTGCCTGCGGTGTGTGTGAGAGGGGGTGCCTGCGGTGTGTGTGAGGGGTGTGTGAGTGATGTGCCTGCGGTGTGTGTGAGGGAGGGGTGTGTGTGAGAGGGGAGTGTGCCTGCGGTGTGTGTGAGAGGGGTGTGTGTGAGAGGGGAGCGTGCCTGCGGTGTGTGTGAGTGTGGAGTGTGGCTGCGGTGTGTGTGAGAGGGGAGCGTGCCAGCGGTGTGTGTGAGTGTGGAGTGTGGCTGCGGTGTGTGTGAGAGGGGAGCGTGCCTGCGGTGTGTGTGAGAGGGGAGTGTGCCTGCGGTGTGTGTGAGTGTGGAGTGTGGCTGCGGTGTGTGTGAGAGGGGTGTGTGTGAGAGGGGAGTGTGCCTGCGGTGTCTGGGCATTGAGCTATTCTCTCCCTGCTCAAAGGGACAGGCTGTGTAAAGATGATGCTGCCGGGGGTTAACTGTGGTCTGACGCTGAGCTAGCACCCTTCCCTTCCCTAGCCGACAGACAGACAGACAGACAGACAGACTGACAGACAGAGGACAACACTCTAACAGGGGGAGAGGGGAGGGGAGGGGAGGAGAAGGAGGGGAAGAGGGGGATACTCCCCTGGACAGAATCGGAAAGTCTTCCTCAGTTTTTTCCTTCAATTTCTTTTTTTCCCCCTCCTTTATTTGGCAGCCCTGTGTAGTTATTCAACAGAAGAATATGGAGGCAACATTTTCCAGGCAAGGAGCACACTTCCTGTTTTCTCTTCTGGATGGCTAATAAAATGTGGCCTTAGGGAGGGAGGAGGGAGGAGGGAGGGAGGGAGGGAGGAGGGGAGAGAGGGAGGGAGGGAGGGAGGAGGGGAGAGAGGGAAGGAGTGAGCGTGCATGCGTGCGTGGAGAGGGCGATGATCTCAGTGTTGTTTGTATGACTGGGTGTCTGACAATGTAGTTTTTTAAAAACACTCCCCTGCTCTGCAGTATGATCCGTTTATCTCCTCTCTTCTTGTTTATCTCTGGTGCTACTGGGGGGGGGGGGGGGGAGTGTGTTTAAAAAAACTACATTGCCAGACACCCAGTCATACAAATTACTGAGGATAATAGCGGACGATATTGCCACTCCTATTTGCCATATCTTCAATTTAAGCCTACTAGAAAGTGTGTGCCCTCAGGCTTGGAGGGAAGCAAAAGTTTTTTCCCTACCTAAGAATAGTAAAGCCCCCTTAACTGGCTCAAATAGCCGACCAATCAGCCTGTTACCAACCCTTAGTAAACTTGGAAGAAATTGTGTTTGACCAGATAAAATGCTATTTTACAGTAAACAAATTGACAACAGATTTTCAGCACACTTATAGGGAAGGACATTCAACAAGCACAGCACTTACACAAATGACTGATGATTGGCTGAGAGAAATTGATGATAAAAAGATTGGGGGGGCTGTTTTGTTAGACTTCAGTGCGGCTTTTGAAATTATCGATCATAGTCTGTTGCTGGAAAAACGTATGTGTTATGGCTTTACACCCCCTGCTATATTGTGGATAAAGAGTTACCTGTCTAACAGAACACAGAGGGTGTTCTTTAATGGAAGCCTCTCCAACATAATCCAGGTAGAATCAGGAATTCCCCAGGGCAGCTGTCTAGGCCCTTACTTTTTTCAATCTTTACTAACGACATGCCACTGGCTTTTTAGTAAAGCCAGTGTGTCTATGTATGCGGATGACTCAACACTATACACTTCAGCTACTACAGCGACTGAAATGACTGCAACACTTAACAAAGAGCTGCAGTTAGTTTCAGAATGGGTGGCAAGGAATAAGTTAGCCCTAAATATTTCCAAAACTAAAAGCATTGTATTCGGGACAAATCATTTACTAAACCCTAAACCTCAACTAAATATTGTAATGAATAATGTGTAAATTGAGCAAGTTGAAGAGACTAAATTGCTTGGAGTAACCCTGGATTGTAAACTGTCATGGTCAAAACATATTGATACAACAGTAGCTAAGATGGGGAGAAGTCTGTCCATAATAAATCGCTGCTCTGCATTCTTAACAGCACTATCAACAAGGCAGGTCCTACAGGCCCTAGTTTTGTCACACCTGGACTACTGTTCAGTCCTGTGGTCTGGTGCCACAAAGAGGGACTTAGGAAAATTGCAATTGGCTCAGAACAGGGCAGCACGGCTGGCCCTTGGATGTACACAGAGAGCTAATATTAATAATATGCATGTCGATCTCTCCTGGCTCAAAGTGCAGGAAAGTGACTTCATCACTACTTGTATTTGTGAGAGGTATTGACATGTTGAATGCACCAAACTGTCTGTTTGAACTCCTGGCACACAGCTCGGACACCCATGCATACCCCACAAGACATGCCACCAGAGGTCTCTTCACAGTCCAAGTCCAAGTCCAGAACAGACTATGGGAGGCGCACAGTACTACATAGAGCCATGACTACATGGAACTCTATTCCACATCAAGTAACTCAAGCCAGCAGTAAAATTAGATTTAAAAAACAGATATAAATACACCTTATTGAAAACCAGGGACTGTGAAGCAACACAAACATTGACACATGCATTCAAACACACGATAACATACCCACTATACACACATGTACACATGGATGTTGTGTTATAGATATGTGGTAGTAGAGTAGAGGCCTGAGGGCACACACTTAATATGTTGTGAAATCTGTTATGAATGTATTGGAATGTTTTTTAAATGTATAACTGCCTTAATTTTGCAGGACCCCAGGAAGAGTAGCTGCTGCCTTGGCAGGAACTAATGGGGATCCATAATAAATACAAAAACAGCCTGAGTAGAGCAACCAGGCTTGGTCTTTTTATGATATTGATGTGATACTAGGTGATGACTTTTGGAGTTGGCTGTTTGAGAGATCTTTAGTGGAGCTTGAAGTAAACTAATCTGAGATATTTAGTGGAGCTTGAAGTAAACTAATCTGAGATCTTTAGTGGAGCTTGAAGTAAACTGATCTGAGCTCTTTAGTGGAGTTTGAAGTAAACTAATCTGAGATCTTTAGTGGAGCTTGAAGTAAACTAATCTGAGATATTTAGTGGAGCTTGAAGTAAACTAATCTGAGATCTTTAGTGGAGCTTGAAGTAAACTGATCTGAGATCTTTAGTGGAGCTTGAAGTAAACTAATCTGAGATCTTTAGTGGAGCTTGAAGTAAACTAATCTGAGATCTTTAGTGGAGCTTGAAGTAAACTAATCTGAGATCTTTAGTGGAGCTTGAAGTAAACTGATCTGAGATCTTTAGTGGAGCTTGAAGTAAACTGATCTGAGATCTATAGTGGAGCTTGAAGTAAACTAATCTGAGATCTTTAGTGGAGCTTGAAGTAAACTGATCTGAGATCTTTAGTGGAGCTTGAAGTAAACTGATCTGACTGGTGTGCTATAGTTATTGAAATAGTGTTTACATGTCGTGTCATTAATGTGTGAAGCTCAAAGGCAACCAGAGAGAGAGCAGTGTGAAGGGGCTTATACTGTGCATTCGGAAAGTATTCAGATCCCTTGACTTTTTCCACATTTTGTAACGTTACAGCCTTATTCTAAAATTGATTAAATAGTTTTTTTCCCCCTCATCAATCTACACACAATACCCCATAATGACAAAGCAAAAACAGCTTTTTAGAAATGTTTGCAAATTTAATCAAAACAAAAAACAGAAATATTACATTTACATAAGTATTCAGACCCTTTACTCAGTACTTTGTTGAAGCACCTTAGGCAGCGATTACAGCCTCGAGTATTCTTGGGTATGACGCTACAAGCTTGGCACACCTGTATTTGGGGAGTTTCTCCCATTCTTCTCTGCAGATCCTCTCAACCTCTGTCAGGTTGGATGGGGAGCGTCACTGCACAGCTATTTTCAGGTCTCTCCAGAGATGTTCGATTGGGTTCAAGTCCAGGCTCTGGCTGGGCCACTCAAGGACATTTTAGAGACTTTTCCCGAAGCCACTCGTGCGTTGTCTTGGCTGTGTGCTGTCATGACTTGCCCTCATGGGTTGAGGATCAAACATGCCGGCAAGGCAAAGGTTTGAACACCCCCTTTCCTGGGGCCAGTTTTATGACTGGTCGTAAATACCGGGCAGACTTTCTCTTCCTTGCCATGAAGTATTGGGAGAAAGGACCCCTTTGTTAACAAAGGAAGTCTTCCCGCCAAAACTCCAACATCCAAAAGTGGATAATGAAATAACATTCTTACTTAAAAGTATGTGGGAAATAGTTGGTGGGGACTTAAAGAACAATCAAAGGCCTGATTGGTGGAGTGCTGCAGAGATGGTTGTCCTTCTGGAATTCTGGAGCTCTGTCAGAGTGACCATCGGGGTTCTTGGTCACCTCCCTGACCAAGGCCTTCTCCCCCGATTGCTCAGTTCGGCCGGGCGGCCATCTCTAGGAAGAGTCTTGGAGAGGGACGTGCAGGAAGGAGAGAGAGAGAGAGAGAGAGGGAGAGATGGGGAAGTGCAGGAAGGAGGGAGAGAGAGAGAGACAGAGAGAGAGAGAGAGAGAGAAGCAGATTCCTATAAGACTGTGGATGCACAGCCAATCCAGTGTTTTCAGAGCATTGATTATCGAGCTGTGTTTGGTAACTCAGCCTTGCTACTGCCGGCTTCTATAACCTCATCAGCCAACACACACACACACACACACATGAAGTGCTACCAGACCAGACCAGACAGGCCCCTCTCTGCCTGGTTTGGTTGGGCTGATTCTTGATCAGATCTTGTAGCGCATCATGATCGTCAGGCTCAGAGTTGTTCACAGAAGTTGTTCCGTCCTATTATAGTAGTATCCAGCACATCGTCTGTGTTCCCTCCTCTCCTACACCTCCGTAGGGACATCAATGAGTCAAAATGAGACAATGATTGATTTGCATCAGAATGGTACCTGCGAATGGGCTGTCTCATGTTTGGTTCCTGTCCTGGTTATGTTCCTGTATTGGAAGTGAACAGTGTCTTGTAGATGGGATCCTGGCACAGTTTCTCACCCCTCCTCTCTTCCTCTGCCCCCCCCTCTCGGTCTTCTTCTCTCCAGGTATCCGGCCCCAGATCATGAACGGGCCGATGCACCCTCGCCCCCTAGTGGCCCTGCTGGACGGGCGCGACTGCACCGTGGAGATGCCCATCCTCAAAGACCTGGCCACCGTCGCCTTCTGTGACGCCCAGTCCACACAGGAGATACACGAGAAGGTAGAGTAACACACACTGATGGACAGGACAGACACAGTAACACACATGGACACACGCACACGCTTTCACCCCCTGAAGAGCACGCACGTTTTCACACTCCCTCTCTCCTCCTCTCCCTCTCCTCTCCACCCTCAACTCCTCTCCACCCTCCTCTCCCTCTTTCCTTTCATCTCCTCTCCTCTCCCTTCTCTCCTGCTCTTCCCCTCTTCTCCTCTCCCTTCTCTCCTCTCTTCTCCTCTTCTCCCCTCCCTCCCTCCCTCTCTCTTCTCCTCTCCACCCTCCTCTTCTCTCCTCTCCTTTCTCTCCTGCTCTTCCCCTCTTCTCCTCTCCCTCTCTCCTCTCCTCTCCTCTCCTCTCCTCTCCTCTCCTCTCCTCTCCTCTCCTCTTCTCTCCTCCCCCTCTCCTCTCCCTTCTCTCCTCCCTCTCTTCTCCTCTCCTCCCTCTCTCTTCTCCTCTCCTCCCTCTCTCTTCTCCTCTCCTGTCCCTTCTCTCCTCTTCTCTCCTCCCTCTCTCTTCTCCTCTACTCTCCCTTCTCCCTTCTTCTTCTTCTTTGTGTGTGAAGGGTGATGTGTAGGGGTGGTGTGTGTGTGTGTGTGTGTGTGTGTGTGTGTGTGTATGTCTCAGAGATGCTATCTGCAGTCTCTGCAAGATAGAAGAGTTTAAAACATACCCACTTCCTTTCTGCTTTATGACAATGGGTTATATGAAAAAGACTACAGAATTTGCATTGAGATCAATTCAATCTCATCTAAGAGACCTTGGACCGTGTCGTGATGTGAATGAAGTTAGAGAAGGAGGGGTGGGTTTTGTTGCTCTAGCTAACATTACCTGATCATAGAAACAGGATTGTAATGTGATGGTGTATTCTGCTGATTCATAGTAATGACTGGGTTGTTTAGAAGCACAGAGGGTGATGATCTGATGAATAGAACATGTCCAATCTCTTCTCTAGTGTGGAGATGACCTAGTTAGTTCTGAATGAGAGAGAGACTGACTGTCTGGGTGACTGGCTGACTGGCTGACTGGCTGACTGGCTGACTGGCTGACTGGCTGACTGACTGGCTGACTGGCTGACTGGCTGAGTGGGTGACTGGCTGGCTGACTGGCTGACTGGCTGACTGGCTGAGTGGGTGACTGGCTGACTGGGTGACTGACTGACTGGCTGACTGACTGGCTGAGTGGGTGACTGGCTGACTGGCTGACTGGGTGACTGACTGGCTGACTGGCTGACTGGCTGACTGGCTGACTGACTGACTGGCTGACTGGCTGACTGGCTGACTGGCTGACTGGCTGACTGACTGGCTGGCTGACTGACTGGCTGACTGACTGGCTGGCTGACTGGCTGACTGGGTGAGTGGGTGACTGACTGACTGGCTGGCTGGCTGACTGACTGGCTGACTGACTGGCTGACTGACTGGCTGACTGACTGGCTGACTGACTGGCTGACTGGGTGACTGGCTGACTGGCTGAGTGGGTGACTGACTGACTGGCTGAGTGGGTGACTGGCTGACTGAGTGGGTGACTGGCTGACTGGCTGACTGACTGGCTGACTGGCTGAGTGGGTGACTGGCTGACTGACTGACTGACTGGATGGCTGACGGTCTGGTTGACTGGCTGGCTGGCTGAGTGGGTGACTGACTGGCTGAGTGGGTGACTGGCTGACTGACTGACTGACTGGATGGCTGACGGTCTGGTTGACTGGCTGGCTGGCTGAGTGGGTGACTGACTGGCTGAGTGGGTGACTGGCTGACTGACTGACTGACTGGATGGCTGACGGTCTGGTTGACTGGCTGGCTGGCTGAGTGGGTGACTGGCTGACTGACTGACTGGATGGCTGACGGTCTGGTTGACCGGCTGGCTGGCTGACTGACTGACTGGATGGCTGACGGTCTGGTTGACCGGCTGGCTGGCTGACTGACTGACTGGATGGCTGACGGTCTGGTTGACCGGCTGGCTGGCTGACTGACTGACTGGATGGCTGACGGTCTGGTTGACCGGCTGGCTGGCTGACTGACTGACTGGATGGCTGACGGTCTGGTTGACCGGCTGGCTGGCTGACTGACTGACTGGATGGCTGACGGTCTGGTTGACCGGCTGGCTGGCTGACTTACTGGCTGCCTAACCGCTTCTCTAGCAGAAAGCCCACTTCAGTAGCATTGCTCACTAGGCTGGCTCCCAAATGGTACCCTATTCCCTATATAGTGCACTATTTTACACTACTTTTACTGTAGTGCACTATATAGGGAATAGGGTGCCATTTGGGATGCACATACCATCTCTAGCCACCTGCTACAGACCCCTCCCTCCGCACCCGCCTGGTGACCATATTACATTACTAAGACTGTCTGGAGAGTTGCTAGTGGCCTTGAACTAAATCAGAGAAGGAACTATATGCTGCACTGTGTCTCACATCATTGTTACTTGAGCAGTGAGGGGGGGGGGGTGAAACAAAACTGAGATACAGGAGACTTCCCCTCAGGGGCCTGCTAAAATGTCCTCCCTCAGCATTAAAGCATTACCATCATCCCCACTGCACACACACACACACACACACACACACCACTGAGATGACCTCATCGTCATACAATACCACTCCAGGAAAACATGGAGTCTGTGAACACACACACACACACACACACACACACACACACACACGACAGAGCTCCAACAGCGGAGGCCTCTGCTATGTTTCACAGAGAAACCAGCCCTGTCAGAAAGGATGCTTCTCCGAATAGGGCTCCGGTACCTGTGTGTGTGTGTGTCTCTGTGTGTGTGTGTGTGTGTGTGTGTGTGTGTGTGTGTGTGTGTCTCTGTGTGTGTGTGTGTGTGTGTGTGTGTGTGTGTGTGTGTGTGTGTGTGTGTGTGTGTGGACAGAGGAGGAGGAGTAACAGACAGATTAGGTCAGTCTTTCCATTTAAGTAAACGAGCGGTGCTCAGAGACTATTTCTCTCACAAACACATTAACAGCTCTAGCCACTCCTCTTGGAAGAGCGCTTTGTCCCCGGCTCTACGGCAAATCACAAACCCCTTCAGCGAAGTGGCCACGGCCCTGGGCATCAGAGAGAGAGGGTGTATGAGGAAAGAGAGAGAAGATTAAGGAGAGATAGACAGAGAGAGAGAGAGAGGGTGTATGAGGAGAGAGAAGATTAAGGAGAGATAGACAGGGAGAGAGAGAGGGTGTATGAGGAGAGAGAAGATTAGGGAGAGATTGAGTGGAGAGATGAGAGAGGGAGAGAGAGGAGAGGAGAGAGAGAGATCTCTTCTTCCTGCGCAGATCGCGACTCTCCCGAGCTAGACCCCGCTCTCTCTCTCAGCTCTTCTGTCGATGCGCGCTTCTCTGACCTCTCTCTCCTCGCGCTCGCGCTCGTCTCGCTCTCTCGCTCTGCTCTCTCAATTCGCTCTCCTCGCTCTCTCTCATCTCCCTCTCTCTCTCTCTCTCCTTGCTCCCGTCTCTCTCTTCGCATCTCCCTAACTCTGCTTCCCCATGACTTGTGCCATGTTAATTACGATATATACTATAAAGTGAGAGTGGACTAACAAAAATCAATGGGGGCCCCTGGAGGTCAGGGCCCTGGAGGTCAGGGCCCCTGGAGGTCAGGGCCCCGGAGGTCAGGGCCCCTGGAGGTCGGGCCCTGGAGGTCAGGGCCCCTGGAGGTCAGGCCCCTGGAGGTCAGGGCCCCTGGAGTCAGGGCCCCTGGAGGTCAGGGCCCCTGGGAGGTCAGGGCCCTGGAGGTCAGGGCCCCTGGAGGTCAGGGCCCCTGGAGGTCAGGGCCCCTGGAGGTCAGGGCCCTGGAGGTCAGGGCCCCTGGAGGTCAGGGCCCTGGGAGGTCAGGCCCCTGGAGGTCAGGGCCCCTGGGGTCAGGTGCCCCCTGGGGAGGGGGGGTCAGGGCCCTGGAGGTCAGGGCCCCTGGAGGTCAGGGCCCTGGAGGTCAGGGCCCTGGAGGTCAGGGCCCTGGAGGTCAAGGCCCTGGAGGTCAGGGCCCCTGGAGGTCAAGGCCCTGGGCACGTCGGTAATTCGGCCATGATTACTACCGGTTTAGATCATTAGCTAGGTTTCCATCCAATTGGACTATCTGGGATTTTGCCACTGATGGTGTGTTTCCACCAAACTGACTGATGAGGATCAAAATCACTGTGTGATGACGTGGTGCAACCTAAATATTTTCCCTTCAGTTTTCATGAAAAATAAATCAGAAGTTCAATGTGTCTCCATCGCATTTTGTCACAAAAACTGTTGCGTTAAATCGGAAATGTGGGCCAACAGCTCACAGATACAGTGAGGGCAGGCTAGTCTACAGATTATTATGGATAAGAGAGAGATTATTATTTTTTTTGTCAAACGGCAGTCGCGCATCGATCATCATGTCAGCAGAATAAGACCTTAGATATTTTTGGGGAAGGAGCATCAAGATCATCACCCTGTGAAGTTCATCGTAACTTATTTCATCTGTAGCTTAATAAACTGCATGCTTTCCCATGACTCAAAGTTTACTTCGATATGATTATTATATCAATATTTGCGCATAAAGGCGTTTCCACCCCGTCGAACGAACAAACTATTCGTCGGCATTTATACAATTGTACTGAAACTTCCTGTTTCCATCACAGCTGTCGTTACTTTTTTTATTTTAATACGGTTGGATACATTTACATTTTAGTCATTTAGCAGACGCTCTTATCCAGAGCAATTTACAGGAGCAATTGCTCAAGGGCACATCGACAGATTTTTCGCCTAGTCGGCTCGGGGATTAGAACCAGCGACCTTTCGGTTAGTGGCACAACGCTCTTAACCACTAAGCTACCTGCTGCCCCAGTAGTTAATGACTGTAAAAAGAATGGACAAAGCCATTGATCACGTGACACCATTCATTCCTATGTGAAGACTCAATAGTGCATTGAAGCCAAATGAAGTCAATTAAGATGGCGGCTCATGAAGACATAACATGCGCAGTTTGAGCTACTCCAGGAAGTGACGTTGCAGGCCAGCTCAGTGCTGCCCCCTCTCATTA